AGGAGTCAGAGGTTTGAGTGCCTTGCCACAGGCCAGACAGAAATCTGCCATTCTAAAGGCAAAAGCAGAAGTGGAGTTGTGAGCCAAGTGGTAGAGCATTATCCATAAGCAAAAGAGCTAAGGGAAAATGTGAGGCCCTGAGTTCAAGCCCCAGTACCAGCACACACTTCGCAGTTCTACCTTCATGAAGGTGGGGCCCCTGCAGAAGTAGTGGTCTGAGGGTCAGATAGCACTTAGCGTATGGCAGTAGAGGCCAGAATCCTAACTTTAAGGAAGTTTGCCTGTTCAGCATGGCTTCCTGTTTGCCATGATCCCTTAGCTGGGTGTTAATGGATTGCTTTCCTAAGCAGGGGACCCTGGCATCAACATAATGTTGCAAGTGCACTGGCCTGTTTCATTCACTTCTTGGTATATAGTAGGAAATCATTTAAGTATTTGGACTGGAGAATCACATCACCAATGAGCTTAAAAAATATGTAGTCCAGGGCTGGGAAGCTGGCTCGGTGGTAGAGAGCTTGCCTTGCATGCCTGAGGCCCTGGGTTCGATTCCTCAGCACCACATAAGCAAAAAGAAAAAAGCTGGAAGTGGTGCTGTGGCTCACGTGGTAGAGTGCTAGCCTTGAGCTGAACAGCTGAGGGACAGCGCTCAGGCCCAGAGTTGAGACCCCACGACCGGACCCAAAAAAAAAAAAATGTAGTCCACAATTATAGCAAACTAGTTGGTGCTTATTCCAAATAATGGTGTTGCTTTAATATCACTGGTCATGCTGATTTTTATTTAGCAGAGATTCTGGATGAACCTTTGGCTGAACATCTGGATGAAAGGCTACATATACCCCCTGGGATCTCTTAAGTTTAATCATAGGCAAATCTAATCATTTCTTTTTTAAGGATGTAGAATTGTAATTAAGAGGTAGTGGCAGCAAAAATTCCAAAGTTTTAAAAGATGACAGCTATGAAAGTGGGTGGTAAAACTTGGCATTGTTTCAAAACTTCTTCCCAGTAACGTTTGTAATTACCCAATTCATGCCATGTTATGTATGGATTCAAAGGTCATTCCTCTCCACTGTTCATTTATTTTCTAGCCTCAGTAGTTGGTTAAACATCAGTCAGCATATTAATGCAAATGCCTAATAAACATGCAGCCTGCGTGTCCTTGTTGGGGAGCCTTGGCTGTATGGTTAGGGACAGAGCTGAAGGATGGCTCTTATTGAACAAAATGGTGCGAGGGAATAGCTGGTCTGTAGTGAGGGACAGACCAGAACCATTTGCACAGAATAGACAGTCTCTTTAGATGCGAAGTCCAGGGCAGCCATTTTGGCCACAGAATAATTCCAGGAGAACCCATGTTCTCAGCTGTTTACATCTCATTGTAGTGATTTTTCAGGGCAAGGTCAATAATTAACTTCAATAATTTAAAGTTGAGTGCTATTATTTCCTAGTTCACCAGCACAGATAATATAAATGGGTTAAAAGTGCATGGAGTTAGAACAAATTGGTTCTTTAAAAAAATATTAGGTACATGAAAAAAGAAAAAAAAAAGCTGATCTTGCCAACCCTGCCCCATAGCTCTGCTACCTGCACTGGCATAGGGGGAGGGGCACAATTTGAGCTCAGCTGTGCCAAGACCTACTTTTCTTTCCCAGTATCACCAGGAGTAAACTGGAAGTCAGGAGACTGTCCTGATGGTTCACTCCAGGTCGGCCTGGGTCACTCTAGGTGAATTCATTGTTTCGGTCCTGTCATGTCAGCTTTAAGGCCAGGCTTGGAAGACATGGCATTTTCTCTGACAAGGGTGATGAGTCTGAAATGACACAACCCACAGACGGCAAAGAGCACAGGCCTGGCTCTGCAGTAAGTGCTCAGCCGCTTTGCTCCTCTGCCCCCAGCTCCTAGCTCTGAAGCAGTCTCCTTGGTTTAGCTCCCTCGGGAAGGGAGATTCCTGAGGTCACTTTTTTTTTTTTTTTTTTGCGGGAGTGGGTGTTGGACGTGGGGCTTGAACTCAGGGACTGGGTGCTGTTTCTGAACTTTTACACTTAAAGCTAGAGCTCTACCACTTTGAGCCACAGTGCCACTTCTGGTTTTCTAGTGGTTAATCAGAGATAATCTCACACTTTCCTGCCCAGGTTGGCTTCCAATTGCGATTCTCACTCAGATCTCAGCCTTCTGAGTAGCTAAGATTACAGGAATGAGCCACCAGTGTCTGGCTAAGGTCACTGAGGTCACTTCTTGGAGGGGACTAATTACTTGCGTCACTTCCCAGAAGCCTGAACTTTCTATTACATGTAATTTCAGGGGACACATACATTCAGTCTATTGCAAAAAGATGAGCACTGGTCTTTGTTAAGAGGAAAAAAATGTAAGGGAGGTTTGTCTGTACAGGCTGAAATAACATATCTGCTTCTATGGGCTGACTGTTAGGATTGACTTTAAAAAATCAATCTCTAATGTCCAATAACTGAATAGTGTTGGGTTCTCTCTGATTAACTGCCTTATTTTTTTCTTTAAAGACTTTTGGAACACCTGCTTCAAAAAGAGAGAGAGTACCAGAAACTTCTACAGCTAAATCTAGAACAGAAAACTCAAGAATTGTATCGCCTTAAGTCACAATTCAAATCTGATGGTGAGTCATTTTGCATTTGTTTGGACAAACTAAGAATTGAATATTCTAGTCAGTCTCAAAGCAGTGGGTTATGATGTATTTTACTCAGTCTTAAAAGGAATTACTGATACATTTAACACCATGGATAAATTGGAAATGCAGTTCACTAAGTGAAAGAACCAACAGGTATTCTTAGGGAAGGTGGGGGTTGAAGTATGTAAAGTACCATATATATATAAATAGTAAAATTTACTATTTTGTTCATTTATGCTGAGTTATGCTAGGATTATTTTGTTTAGCAATGATTTCTCATGAATATCCATGTCCTCATTTTTGTTTGTGTGTGCTGGTACAGGGGCTTGAACTCAGAGCCTCTGTTAAACACTTGACTTTTTCACTCAAGACTAGAGCTCTGTAACTTGAGCAGCTTGCAGCTTTTTGCTGTTTAACTTGGCGATGTCTCACAAACTTTTGGCTTCAAACCCAGATCCTCATATCTCAACCTCCTGAATAGCTAGGATTATAGGCATAAGCCACCAGCACTCATCTCCACTACTGCAAAAACAAAGAAACCCAAAACAACAAAAAGCTTCATACTCTTATTCCATTCCCATGGACAAAATTATAATGACAGAATCTGAGCGGAAAAGAAGGGGGATAAATTATGAAAGGACACCATGAGAACCTTTCAGGATAATGGAAATGTTTGTGTCCTGATTGTAGTAGTAGTTCATGACTGTGTGTGTCAACAAAATACCTAAGAAAGTTGGGTGCAGTGATGTACACCTATAACCCCAGTTCTTGGGAGGCAGAGGCAGAACTATATTTTAAGATTCTGGGTAAACAAAGGAGGAGTCTGCAATGCTTGATAAGAAATGTACTCATTATCTTGCCCATGTAATTGTAACCCCTCTGTACAGTATGTTCACAAAAAATAAAAATTTAAATTTAAATTAAAAAAAGATTGATTCAAAACAAATTTTTCAATACATATTTGTGAATATATATATATATATACTTTAAAGGCACTGTTTACTGGCTAAATTATGCCTTAGCAAACTACCCTTTTTTACTGTATGCACCTTAAAAAAAAAACCCTGTAGGCTCCCTCATGGAATGTGGAATGGATAAGCTGTATTATTGCAACCTATTTCCTCATTTGATTTCTGGTGTAGTTAGGGATATACTCCCTAAGAAAAGGTATTTTAGAGCTGACTATGCATTTAAGGTGAGACCAGTGAGGATTCTTTTCTCCAGAAAATAAATCTGATGATTATGAATTGTATAACACTTTATTAAAGCAGTTGAATGATACAAGTTTGAGTCAGCTTATTTGCACATCACAACCTTACTTTCAAGCATTTCATGGTTACAGGTTAAAACAAAACAAATTTTTCATCAATACAGGTAATACAGAAAATCCAGAACCCCTGCAGGGGCAGGGAACAGATAAAGAGCTTATAGACTGGTTGCAGCTACAAGGAGTGGATGCAAATACAATTGAAAGGGTAAAATTATAACCCCCAACTATTCCTATGATACTGTTTACAAGCTTTCTCTCTTACATATCATATCCAATTTCGGTTTCAGATTATTCAAGAGGATTATACACTTTCTCATATTCTTAATGATATCACTAAGGAAGACTTAAGATACCTTAGACTACGGTAAGATCTTCAAAACAGTTTGCGTATTTTTTTTTCTTGTGAATATCCTTTAAAATGATAATACAAATTAAGTGCTGCCACCTGCTCCTGGCTCCCTGAAATGAATTCAGTTTCCTATGTTTTACAACACCTTACCCATCCTCCTTCCAAAATCTGAAATTCTGATAGGTTCATGTTAGGAAAAGGCCAAGGTGAGGCCTGAGGTTCCAGGGCACTAGGCCAAGACCCTTCCTACAGCACAGCCTGTTCTTCTGTGCAAGGCATTTTATATTGCCACTTCTACACAGAGCCACTAAGAGTCGTGTATAGCATGCCATACCATTGGGGCACATGTATCACCTATACATATGAAGAAAATATACATTTTTGGAGATGGTGTTTGAATTCAAGGCCTTACACTTGCTAGGCCAGTTCTCTACTGCCTGAGCCATACCCTCCAGCCTCTGACAGTAACCCTCCCACATAGGTGGGATTACAGGTGTGTACCATTATGCCAATAAGACTGCATTGAGGAGTAGATGGCAAATCTAGAATGTATACTATGCCTTTTGCTACATGACTTCTACAGAATTGTTTTGGAATGGTTGATTTGAAACTCAGTTTTCCCATGCTAACTCTTGTTTGTTCTGCAGTGGTGGTGTCCTCTGCAGAATTTGGCACGCGGTCTCCCAGCACAGAAGACAGGCTCAGGAGTCCTCAACCACTGCAGATGAGGTTTAGTCACTGACAGCTAAGCCTGAGGACAGAGCAGGCAAATACCACACATTTGTGGTTAAAGCTTCTGTTCATGTGCCTAAGTTTGGAGTTTACCCAAGGAAAAACGAAGACCTACCATTGTTCAAAGACTGTCTTTACTGAAAAGTTTTAAACCTGTTATTTATAAATGTTTTAAAGATTTATAGAACTGTATGTAATGTGAACAGTGAGCCTTAGTTTTGATATCCCAGAGTAAAACGCTTATTAATTTTCTTTCATTATCAGCACACAAAGTACTTGCTGGAAAGATAAACCAAAGTGTGGCTAAATAATAGGCTAGCTGTCACTGTTTTAGGATATAAGTTATTCACTAATATAGTGCTTAGAGTTGGAAGGTAAAATTGATACAAATGTGCCTTTCATTTAAATGTGATGGAACTGCAATTTATGAAAATAACGTCATATTTATGTTGACTGTACAAATGGAGACAGAACTAAGTTATTTTGCATTTGAAATGGCTGTAGTCTTATTTTTAAATGGTAAATATTTTCACCTCTTACTTTGTTATAAAAATAAATATTGTGTCTTACTTTGGAGAAATGACTCAAGTAGCTGCTATCCTATGTAGATGAGCCATGAATTAATCTCAGCATGCCTCAGTGGGTACAGGAATGATCCCAGAAAAGGGAGCAGGGGGTAACTTGGTAGAACTATTTTAGACCTATACAAATCCAACAGTCTTCATGATATTCACACAAAATATCTAAGTACTTAGTAACTTTCTCTAATGCAACAATGTACAACCAGCATGCATCACTTTCCCATTAATTTACATGCTACTTAGTCAACCATAATGAAAGTCTCCTAGATGTTCATTTGCTGGATATATTCCTTATTAGTCTTCCTTAAAGTTGATAACACTGAGTTCCTTACAGTCGTCGACAAACAGCCCATGATTACAGTCTACCATTAACTGACTGACTTAAACTTGATCCACTGGTTGGCACCACGCACTTCAAATGGTGGATCGCTGCTGTAGATGTGATAGCCGAGCTCTTCCAATGGTGGCTCAGGATCAGCTGTGGCAAACTGGGCAGCATCCTCAATTTCTTTCCTCACTTCAACATCAATTTCCTGAATATCAGATTACATTGTAAGAGAGTTTTGAATCAACAGCAGTGTCAGTACCAACTAGTTCTACTCAGACCTGCTGCCAGGGTCACTTGAAGTAGAAGTATCAACTATTGATGGTTTTAAAGATTGTAAGATACTCTAGGGATAATTTATGAGTTAAAAATCCAAAGCACATTATTTTAGGAAAATACTTTTAAGAAAACTGGGGAGAAGGGTAAAGACTTTTTTGCCAATCCAATTAATGTCCTTTCAGAGCACATGCTTTCCTACTGACTCAGGTCACTACCCACCAAGTCCTAATAAAGAACAGATTTCAGAATTAATGCTCCATCTCAACACTTTCAGAGCTTGGACAAACACCCAGGACTGTGGCCATGAAGGGATGGTGACAGTTTGTGAGGGAAAAACTTGATTGTGAGAAAGGAGAACCAATTTTTTAAAGCCAGACTTAAACTACTAGAGCAACTATACCTTCAATTCTTCAACACTGGCCAGATTGCTATTCACCATTCTATCCTTGAGAAGCATAATAGGGTCACTCTTACTTCTTACTTCCTGAATTTCTTCTCGTGTACGGTAACTGTGGGGAAGGAGAGGCGGTTAGAGATAGGTGAGAAGAGTTCCTGTGGGGCAAACAGCTTAGTGAAATACAAGAGTGTTTCTGTAAGGAAAAGGCACATTAATACTGATACTACTATGGGAATAGCAAGGGGACACCTAACCAAGGCAGCCTAGTGGCATTTAAGAACTTCTTGCATCTTTTATGGAAACTGTAACACGCAGGACTTCTCCAGCATTCTGACAAGAAGGCTCAAGTTTTGGTTTGGTGTTTCAAAAGGGGAATAGGGTATGAAAGAAGTGTTACCTGTCCGACTACTTGGCACTCATTTATTTTTACACAAGTGGGAGAACAGTGGTGAGAATTACAGACTTTGAGGCATTAGAACATCAGCAGAAAAATATACATGCATTGCCTTTCTCTCTAAGACTGCAAAGAAGTATGGCTAGCAAAAACTTAGGGGCTAGATTTTTCTGACTCTCGATTCTGTAATTCTTTTCCTACTGCACCTGAAACAACACCAAAAAGGAAGAACTACCATTTCTAAGACCAAATAACACAAAATGCCCTTTTCTACATACTGTGTTGTTTACATGTGTACCTTAATTCATTCTACACAGCCTTGTTTATTTTGACCAAGTTGACTTCTTCTAATTCTATCAAACCATCATTTGCAGAATTATGTGCTAGAGCTATGTGAAAAAGGGAAACTCTGATCTTCCTGTATCACCTAGCTCTTTTGATTGATCTATCTCAATTTACTGAACAACCCATGTGTTTTCCAGAACTTCCCCAAACCCCAGGCCTCTGCAGGGAGTGTTGCAATGCATGAATTTAGGCTAATGTCTATCATAAACTAAATGCCACCAAATATGCTCATCTATCAGTAGATTTGTTTTCAGTTAGTTTCTCTCTGTAGTTTAGTTACAGGCCATGTGTAGAATTACTGTTCATATCAACAAACTATGTATTGTGAAGATTTTTTCAGAATGCTTTCTATATCAGAAGCAATTTATTAGAAGGAAGCTTTAAGACTAAGTCAAATTTGTTACTTGATGCTAGTGAGACTAATTTCACTAGTCAAATGAACTTTTATCTGATTTCAAAAGTAAACACTGAAATGCTCTTCCTTTTCATGTAAGTAACACTAATCAAAGCTTACCCAATTTATTTTAATTTTCTTGTTGGTCGTGGGGCCTAAACTCTGGGCCTGAGTGCTGTCCCTCAGCTCTTCAGCTCAAGGCTAGCGCTCTACCACTTGAGTCACAACACCACTTCCGTTTTTTTCTGCTTATGTGGTGCTAAGGAATCAATCCCAGGGCCTCATGTATACGAGGCAAGCACTCTACCACTGAGCCACCTTCCCAGCCCGCCTACCCACTTTTGAATCACAGATTACCCGTGACTCTACCTGACTCCAGGGTCACTCATGCTGTGTCCATGGTAACGGTAAGTCTGCAGCTCCATCAGGATAGGTCCCTAAAATGAACCCGTAAATGGTTAGATAAGACAGAAGGAATAGAGCGCCAATGATTCCCAGCCTCAAATGGATGTCTTATCAGATATGCAAATGAGTTGGCAATAATTGGTTAACTGATTTTTAATTTTTTTTCATTATTGTACAGAGGGGTTTATGTGGTATTGGGGAATGAAACTCAGGGCTTCATGCAAGCTAGGCAAGCACTCTACCACTAAGCCACCTTCCTAGCCATCCTTCTCATTTTAAAAACAACAGAAAAGTAAGCCACTGGGGTGTGCATACTATTAAACTTATCCTAGTGATCAAAGTAAACTCTTTAGGTCAACCTCACTGTTCCCCTCTTCCTCACTGCCATTTGTATACTAAAAAATAAAGATCCTCAAGACCAAAGCAGAAACTAAGATTACACATGTCAGTCTTGCTATTATAATTTGTGCAAAATTATCAAATGCCTTAGTATATAAGCACAGTTCTTGGCTGGGCACTGTGGGGAAAGCCCAATCTGATAAGTCAAGGGTTGTAGGATAAATAATGAGAAGGGACACAATTAAACAAAAGGTAAAAACAGATGGTCATGAACACAGAGGCAAGGGAGCACTAAAGAAAAAGATTTATAGGAGGTGTGTTACCATGATCATGCTATTCATAGAGGGACCCCAATTGCTTGCCTGGACTCTTTCTTTATACACATCACTTAACAGCTACCTCTGGATTGCTACAATGGCTATGTGGGAAGCCTTCTGTTAAGCTCAAACCTGCTGTCACAGGAAGACAAAGTCTTTGGAGTGGCTTACCTTCCCAGATCTACAATAGGCAGCTGCAAACTTCGTGGCCTCTCGGACACACAAGATATCCATTCCATCTACCTGCGAATAAAGGTGAAAGGGGCAAAAAGTAAGTCGAACTGTCCAAATCCATTTTCCTTCTTTTCTAGGTCTGGAGATCAAACTTGGGATCCTGCACATGCTAGGGAAGCATTCTACCACTGAGTCACAGTCCTAGCCCTCACATTTTAGTTTATATAATCTGTTCATATGTAAGCAAACCAAACTCAATTTTGCCAAGGTGCTCAACAGCATGCATAAGGGCACCTAGCTGACAGGGAGTAGTAGCCTTGGCTATCCAACAATTGTCCTTACCCTCAGCCCAGGGATAAAGTCTCCTCTCTTGTAGTAATCAGTACTGGCTGCTGCTCTCTCAACAGACGTTCCCATTCCATAGCGGTTATTCTCACAGATGAAAATGCATGGTAATTTCCACAATGCTGCCATATTGTAAGCTTCAAATATCTGACCCTAGAAGTATTTATAAAACGTTCAAGTGGTTCCAGATTTCATCATCATCCATGGTTATAGAAAGGCTTTCATAAAGGCCAAAGACTCATTTTCTCAAAATTTCTGATGTGAATGAACTGTGTGTGTGTGTTCTGGGAGTGCTTGTGAGAAGGAGCAGGCATCATATTCTTGCAACTAAGGAAACTTACGAATCAAATCCTATTACCTGTTTTTTGTAGGACTAGTACTACTAGTACTACTGAGTTTATTGAAAAGAGGCTCAACATTTAAAAACAGGTGGCTATTTTACTGTTAGGCCTTATTTTTGTGCCATCCCGAGGGTTGAACTCAGGGCTTGAGTGCTGTCCCTGAGCTTTTTGCTTAGGGCTAGTACTCGACCAATTGAACTATAGCTCCACTTCCAGTTTTTTTGGTGCTTAATTGAAGATAGTCTTATCTTTAATAGACTTCCCAGCCTGGGTTGGCTTAGAACTGCATCCTCAGATCTCAGCCTCCTGAGTCACTAGGATGTAAGGTGTGAGCCACTGGTGTCTGGCTAGTTATGCCTTTTTTTTTTTTCTACAAGCCATTTGTTATTTATGCTTTTTTAATTGTCAAGCTGATGTACAGAGGGATTACAGTTACATAATTAAGGTAATAAATACATTTCTGGTCAAACTTGTTACCCCTTCCCTCATTTTCCTCCCTGCCAATTCCCCCTCCACTGTGTTATACAGATTATTTCCAACATATTGTCTTGTGTATATCACTGCTGCACTGATTCCCCACTTCTCCTTTGTCTCACCATTCTGTTGTTCCCTTTCTCTAATTCAGATAAATGTATATAAAATACCAGGGTACCAAAATCAAATACAGTGACAACAGGGGATATATCATAGGGGGAAGAACATACAAAAGAAACCAAAAATCAAATAGTACATTTAAAAAACAACAACAAAGAAAAACCTCGTGTCCATGTTTTTCAGTTCATTTCACTTAGAATCATCCATACATAGCTATTGAGCTATTCTATTCATCTGCTAAGATTTCAGTTCATTTCACTTAGAATCATCCATACATAGCTATTGAGCTATTCTATTCATCTGCTAAGATTTCCTAGATGTACGCTATTTACTGCAAATAAGAGAAACCATGGGCCCTATGTTTCTTTAGGTCTGGCTTCCTTCACTTAATATGTGCCTTTCTTTAAAATCTATCAGATCCAGTGGATAATCAGGGTAAACCAGCATCTAAGAATCAACACCAAATACAGGACCTCACCAAGTGCCTTCTGTGGATTGCTAATTATTCAGACCAAAAGAGAACAAGAAATGAACAATTAGGGCTCAGACACTATTATATGAATTTGACATTGTCTGAGCATCTAAGGTAATGGGTCTGTATGGTTCTATTCTGGTTTGCAATGGGTTCGAAATTTAAATTAGGGGGAAAAAGTCATCTATCACAGAGTACTTACAGAGCAAATGTGGAGCAAAGGTACCTCTTCAGGAATGTTTGCTTGTAAGACTGGTAAAATGTGTCACGTGTAACATGCTAACATGCTTATAAAACCAAAGTTCACTTGCTTTATGAAATGATCTTTCAACTAAAAAGCAAAAATCACCCTCTTCTCTTTCTCATCGGATCTGAATGCTGGTCTTGGTGGTCGTAAAGGAGGGAAAATGATAGTGAAGCTCGCTCATACTGCACTGCAGTCTGGCATAGCACATGAGCTTGTTTCAAACAGGATTAAAAAAAAAAAGCAAAAATCTTTTTCTTTAGCTCTAAGGTCTTGAATTCAGTCCTGCCATGCTCCCAATCTGTTTTTGCTCTAGTTATTTTTGTTAAATAGGTCTCGTATTTTGGCGGGAGCCAGCCTAGACCTCAATTCACCTACTTAAGCCTTTTGCACAAGTACACACATCACATTCAGCTTTTACTGGTTAAGATGGGATTTCTAGAACTCTGCCCTAACTGGCATGAAACCAAAATCCCCCAATCTCTAACTCACTTTCCATTCCTAGTCCCACTCCCATAGCTAGGGTTACAAGAGTGAGCCATGATGAGTGCAACTAAGCATTTCCTTACCCAATCAACTGCAGCTATTCAACACTTAGGAAATCTAACAATTGCTACTGGAAAGTTAAGAGACACACTTACCTGATTAGCAGCACCATCACCATATAGTGTCAAACAGACTTCATCTTTTCCATTATACTTACAGGCCAGAGCAATCCCAGCTCCCAGGGGTACCTAACATTAAGGACAACCAAGAAACGAACCACAAAAATCTGAGTTACGCTGTTAATTTTAACTCTTGGACAGAACTGGAGATGGAAATTTCACTGCTGCTACTAATTCCTCCTGCCCTAACCCTGTTTCTACACTCAACGGGCTATTTTCAACAAGTCAGGAAAGTAACATGAGTAATGACCATTTGCAAAGACATTTCTGTGCTCAAAGATCCAAACAATGAAACTTAAAGAGTCAGAGGAAGAAACTTAATTGTAAAATATGGATAACAGACCCTTACTAAATTAGACATAATTTTTCACCAATGCTCCATTTATCATTCACCAACTGGTGAGAGCAAGCTTTCGATTATTACTAGACCTGATAATCCTGACTGTCCCCATCTTCTAATTTGGCTCCAGAGTTAGCACTGCCTAGAAGCAGGTGGAAGCAGTAATTAATGTACTGAAATGTGAATTAAAAGGTGAAAGAATAGAGATTTAGCAGATCTTGTTTACTTACAAAACAGTAACAACCATATATCCAACCTACTTGTTAATTGCTCAAATAGCAAGGGAAGAGAAAATAAAGTTCTCTGGAGTAAGCAAATTTATGAAGACATGGGTCATGACCAAATCTACGGAAAGGTGTTCATCCTTCACTACCTGAGCTCCAACGATGCCATTGCCCCCGTAGAAGTTCTTGGCATACATGTGCATAGATCCTCCTTTCCCTTTAGCACAACCTCCTCTTCGTCCTAGAAATGGCAGTACACACACACAGACACATGAAAAACCAACAAGAAGCAAACCAAACCATGCCCCGTCTTTACTCTGAGACTAGTTCAACTGTGTCAGCATCTGTCCTTCCAAGGAAATGTTTTCTTATCTCTATCTCCAAGTCCTTTCCATGACCTTGCTCTCCAATCATTTAGTTGCATCATCCTAAATGTCTTTTTTTTTCTTTTTGGTCAGTTATTCACAGCTGACTTCTACACTGCTACACTCAACAGAGTAAAGAAACACATAGAAGGGACTACTAAAAAGATTTCTGGCTGACATACTTGAGGAATAACAAACCCCATCTGTCGAGTTAGCACCTAACTTTTTAAGAATTTTTACCATAAGGACCAGATGACCACATCAATGGTTAATATACTCAATAATCCATCAGGTACCAGAGCATCAGAGGGTTTTTTTTTTAACTCAGAAGTTTTTTTTTACTCTCCTAAGGGTTAGGATCTTAATGGGAGTTATCTGCAAATTCAATCCACTCACTCCCCCTTTCTGTAAACCCATAGCTAACCTGTTAGCTCTGCGAGAATTTCACGAACAGAAAGACCCCGAGTGAAGGTGAAGCCATGAGCCCGGTAGGCTGTGATGAGATGGTCTGTGGGGTTTATGCCAGCCTCCAGCCCCACACAGCAAGCTTCCTATAAAGGAAGAAGAAACTATGAGGCAACACGGTACCTGTTTCTGGATTAAAAATAAAGTTTCTGTTAGAGCCAGTGCTACACAACACTGGCCAACAGAACTTAGCATGAATAAGCACAGAAAGTAGCCATTCTTCACCAAAAACAGTGGAGACTCAAACCAGAAGCCATGAACTAAGAACCCACAGATGTGTTATTTCCTTTAACCTGTATGATACAAACAAGAAAATCCACATCATATCAACATTAAAATATTGAGGGAAAGGACTGGGGAGTGTCTCAAGCGACAAAGCACCTGCCCACCAAGTTCCAACACCAGTACCAGGAAAAAAACAAAAAACAAAAAACAAACTTGAGGTAAAGTCATATGAAAATCTTGAAACGTCTATCTTCTAGAAAAAACGAACAGGAAAACTTAGATCTATTCCCACATGGTACCAACCAGCTGCAATCAAGTCTGGGTGTCTCTGGGTGGGGCATGCCTGCCCAGTTCACCAATGGTCTCTGTCACCATTCTCCATGTTTTGTATACCTGGCCTTCTTAACTCATTCACTCTACCTAGCTGGGCCTGGTAGGCATTTGAATTTGTGATCAGCCAATGACCTAAACCCTAAAGCATCAAAGCAAACTAATAACTCTATATCCTAAGAATGTATATAGTTTAGATAGGATTGAGACAGCAGCAAGTTTTAAAATAGTGAAACTTAAAAGTAAATGCAAGAAATCAGCAATGCTCCCAGTGAATGAATACTTTAGCTTAAGCTTCACAGTGGATTTTGGCATTCTTGTTTTCAAATCCTGTTAACATTAAAGGCAGGCTAAAATCTGAAACGATATGCAAATACCTAAATATACATAGTTTTATTACAAATTTATCCTCACCTGACCATCACACAAGTGACAGAAACCACGAATAATTTTCTGTTTATACAGCTGATCAGCTTTTAACTCCATTCTGCGCACAGTCTGCATCATCCTATAGTATTTGAGCCCATCCTCTCTGGTGAGCACAGTTGTAACGGGAGGGCCTTCATCCAGTCGGTGAAGGTCACATTTCTGAAATGAAGGTGGTCATGCTGCAGTTACTACATCACAAACTCTGCTGACTCAATCTAAGATACAAATTTCACAAATAGCTTGCAAAACAAACAAAGAGTGTATCAGCAATGCTACAAAATGTTTCTAACTCCTTAAGTCTATACATCTCATTATGCAAAGGGATATGGTTTTGAAGGAAATTTTCTGAGGTGATTTTCACTGAAAACCCTTAGAAGTTAATTGAGGAATTATAGATTGAAAAATTTAAAAAAAAAAAACAACTAAAAAACAGAAGAACCGGACTGGGAAGGTGGCTCAGCAGTAGAGTACTTGCCACGCATGCATGAAGCTCTGGGTTCAATTCCTCAGCACCACATAAGCAGAAAAGGCTGGAAGTGGCGCTGTGGCTCAAGTGGTAGAGCACTAGCCTTGAGCTGAAGCGCTCAAGAACAGCACCCAGGCCTATAGTTCAAGCCCCACAACCAACCAAAAAAAATAATAAATTAATTAAAAATAAAAATTAAAAACCAGAAGAACCTTCTTATTCAAACGTTTAGCTGAATCATGTCCTGAATGTTGGAATAAGTTCCATTCCTTTTTTAACAACATCTCCACTCCTTTTCTGAACTACCAGCAAGCTGTTAAGATTAACATATTTTTGCTAAAGTTCTCAGAGCCTTTGGCTGTGGAACATTAGAAGAAAATGACTTTAAAAATACCAATATCAAAATGTTCTAAAGGTAAAAATATTATCAGAGTGTACCTGTGGAAAAATGATTAACCCAAGATTAAATACCGCTTACCTTAATTTCAAATGTAGCATCATTTGCAAAATTACGCGATGCCACTAGAACTCTGGTTGCCTAGGAAAACAAAAATATGCAAACAAATGTTTAATATTTAATGTCCATTGTTTTAGAAAGTCACTACTATAATCACCAGCAGGATGAAGTCATGGAAAGCCAGCCCCCAGATGCTGGCACTATGCCCGTATCTTCCTCATCATGATGTAAAACTAATCTATGCTTTGGCCAATGAAATACAAACCATATCCCTATCTGAGGGAATAAGAAAGGCAACAAAAATCAAACCCATCCACTTGGCCACTCCGTTTTCAAAGACATTATGGTGAGAATATAATAAAATAAATGGCCAGAGGAATGGATAATCTGTGAGCATTGTTTAGTTATGTTATTCTTGGTTATAACCTGATACCATTTATTTGAGCAATCTAAGGTTCACTTTCAAAATTATGCTTCAAACAAAACTGTCAGTCAATCTCTATTAGGGGCAAATTTTACTATTTTGTGACATAGATCTAGGAAGACAGGTTTCTTACTATTCGTAGTATGAGGTGAATACATTAGCAAGAAACATTTAAGATGGAAGCAAAGATATTTAACACTGACTTAAAAACAATGGATTTGAGTCTGCTATTTTGTAATTTGAGCAGCCTAAATCTTGTGTTGGCTCCTTCTGGAGGCAGAGGAAGGAGACATGTCCTCTGTAACAGTGTTTGTTCCTTGATGTTCAGTAGCATTTTTGAGGTGCTTGTTCCTTTTCACTGTTGAGGTGTGTAAGTTTCATAAAAAAGACTCTAGCTTCTATTCCTAGCTGAATCTCAATGTCATAAGCAAATTCTACCTTTGGCTAACAAATTTCTGCCTACAACCAAGGAACTATTATACAATGTTGAAAATATATCAGTATTACTCATGTTCAACTAAGAAGTGATATTCTGAGTACCTAGCCTAGTGTCTGGCACATATTACAAAAATAAATGTTGGCTATAGCATGAATGCATACCGAAAGAGTTAACAGCAAATGTGCTTTAGTTACAAGTCAAAAGCTAATATATTATCTCATGAGTGCTAGATTGTTCCCAAGTCTATGGAATCTGTAAAGCTGTACACTTCCTACCTTTTGAAATGCTTTGCCCCTATCAAGCAGAGTTACATCAAATCCTGGGGGAATTTCTAGAACCAAAATTACAAGTCAAGGCTTAGCAGTAGAGAAAACCAACACCATCTGAGTGTGACTAGAGGTCCAAGTGCTCCATGCCTAGGTATTATGGCACATTTAAAAGCTGGAATAGGGCTGGGAAGGTGGCTCAGTAGTACAGTGTTTGCCTTGCATGCGTGAGGCCTTGTGTTCAGCACCACATAAGCAGAAAAAGCCTGAAGGGATGCGGTGGTTCAAGTGGTAGAGTGCTAGCCTTGAGCTGAAGAGCTGAGGGAAAGCGCCCAGGCCCAGATCAGGTCCTACGACTGCACCAAAAAAACTGGAACCAGTCCTATTCTCTAACCCCAACCCTAAGATCAGTGTGTGCTTAAGAATGAAGGCAGTTTACTCTGGGTTCTAAGTGATTGCTGTGCAGCTGACTGCCAAGAAAAGCTCAGCTGTTGAGGGAGGGAGGAAGTTTGTTTTTGGCGTGCCTCACCCCATGTGAACCCAACTCCAAGCCAAGCACAAGTGTGCAACAAATGTGTAGCTAAATTTGACATTATGAAAACCAGAAGGCTGAGTAGGTGGCTCAGTGGTAGAGTGTTTACCTCGTATGCTTGAGGCCCTGGGTTCGATTCCTCAGCACCACATAAGCAAAAAGAAAAAAGCCGGAGTGGCACTGTGGCTCAAGTGGTAGAGCGCTAGCCCTGAGCTGAGGGACAGCGCCCAGGCCCAGAATTCAGGCCTCACGACCGACCAAAAAATTTTTATTTAAAAACCCAGAAATACTCTCCAAATATATGATACCTATAGGGTGCCAGGCACTACTTATGTGTAAAGGTTTATAACACATACCTCTCTTTGAATCTTCGTGCTAACCCCAACAGATAGAGCCTCTTAATCTCTACTTCAGAGATAAGGAGCCTGGGCCAAGGGACATGCTAACTACTTGGGAAGCTGAGATCTGAACCACGGCAGCTCGGGCAGTAAAGTCCGTGAGACTTGTACCTCAAGTCAAACACAAGAGTGCAGCTGTGGCTCAAATTGGTAGAGCTCTGGTCTTGAGCAAAAAAGCTCCGCTTCCCCCCAGGGGCGGCGTGCACGCACGCGCGCACACACACAGGCGCGCACACACTACACACTCTTCATTTCTCCTACTTGCTTAAGGGCGGGCGAGTCAATGACGAAGCTATGTCTAACTGGGCTTCTGGATTCCCAGCCCTTTTACTAGAATGTACTACACAGCCTCTAGGTCAAGAGTAATGGCACTAGGACGAGCGGAGGTCAGGGGAGACAGGTGGACACACAAGCCGCGTCTGTCCCTGGCGCCAGCAGGCGAGCCGAGCCCCCCGCGCGCCACGTGCAGAACTGAGAGCGGGGGTGGGGGAGAGGTGCGGCCGGACACCCTCCCTCTGCCCCCCTTCTCCCCCCCCCGCCCCCCGCGCGGACCCGGCCGACACCCGTGTTCCCCCGCGGCGCACGCGACCGCTTCACGCCGTCCCTCCCCGGGCGGAATGCGCGGCGACGAAGCGGAAATGAGAGTCCGCGGCTGTCCCCTGCCGCACCCCAGATCCCACTGGGAGGCCCCACTGTCCCCTCCCAAGCCCCGGGCCGGGCCCCATCCCGCCTGCTCGCTCAGGAAGTCTCACCGGCTTCTGGGCAACGCCCAACAACACGCGGGAGACGGCGGCGAGCATTTTCCTCATGGAGCGCCGAGAACGGCTGGAAGGAACGACTGGAAACCTCTGGAAGAGAAGGGCTTGGGAGTTACCAAGTCTCCTTCAGGCGCCCTGAACAGACGCCACGCCTTCAACGCAGTGAAGGAAGCGCAGTGACCTCATGCTCCAGCGCCAATCTACGGACCTATCAGGACGTCCCCTCGAGCTTTTCCCGCCCACCTGACGGGGTCTACAGCTTTTCGTTAGGCATTAGCGCCAGAGAGGGCGGAGCTGCGGCCCGTAAGACACCACGTGAGGAGGCGGGAACTTAAGGACGCGAGCTTAAGGAAGTAGGGAGGGGGAGGCCTTGCATTTCTCACCACCAGCTCTAGGGGGAGTGCGGCAAGCTTTCCTACACTTCCCCTGGTCCTACATTTGTAGTCTTGGTTCAGTACACAAAACGATGAAAATTAGCCACAGGGTCAGGCCAAAATATACGCCATCTAGTTTCTAAAAATTGTTCCTCCCAGCTTTAAAACACAGTTGGGAACCACTGACCTTAAGTACTTGAGAATCCCAAGACTGATTCCCGACTCCCCCAACTAAACCCAGAGAATGCCGATTATATAACAACTACAGCTTAGCCTTAGGGCTTTATTAGTGCTTTGTGTAGGTGCTAATGGTTTGTTGTTGCTTTGGACGCTAAACTGGAGCTTGCTTTCCGCAGCATTATTTTGATCCACACCTCTAGCCTTGCTTTTTACCAGTAAATTGGAGATGGAATCTTGGGGACTTTCTTTGCTGGGCTGGCTTTAAACCAGATCTTTCAGCAATCAGTGCCCTGATTAGCTAGGGTTACAAATGTGAGCCGCCTGAACCCACTTTTTTTACCTTTTGCTTCTTAGGGTAAGGCTACTGTTGTAGAGAACAGATTGGAAATGAGCTGCTCTATGCAAATTTTACTTGGAAAACAGCAGAATCTTACACCTCCTGTGTGACCCTGTTACCCAGAGGCTTAAGACCCAGGACTTGGGCTGGGAAGGTGGCTCAGTGGTAGAGCGCTTGCCTTGCATGCATGAGGCCCCCTGGGTTTGATTCCTCAGCACCACGTCAGCAAAAAGAAAAAAAGCTGGAGGACAGCGCCCAGGCCCAGAGTACAGGCCCCCACGACCGGACCGCCCCCCCCCCAAAAAAGATGCAGGACTTTGAAGGGAAAATAAATGCAGAGAGTGATAAATATATGTGACAAAATGAAAAGTCATAAATACATAATTTAATAAATAAATGGGGAGTAAAGAACTTTTCCTTACAGGAAATTAATTTCCTTCGAATGAATAGATGCCGAAGTAATGATGGGACTACGGAAAAATTATCATTTGGCAAAGACCACAGTCATTGTTGCACGCACGAATTTACCAACAAAGACTAAAGATCAAGACATTTATATGATCTCACGAGATCTCCCAACAAGAAACTTAGGAGTTACAAAGGTTACAATAGTAGTTTTCCAGCAGATAAACAAAGGAATCCATTTTTATAACTATGATATACTTTCCATTCATATTTTGAAGAAACATGCAAAGCCAGAGTTGCCAGCAACCTTGAAAGTGAGGGAAGGTTGTTACATCTGTGAAATTGGAGACAAGGGACTTTGCCTTTTACTGGCTTTTAACTCATCATCATCCCCTCTCCCCCCCCCCCAGCCTGAACACTCACCAGGTTTTGATGAAGCTGGAGGATTTAGATTAGAGAATCCTGTAATCTTTTGATCATCATAAAGATTTTAAAAAATCCAATCAAGCTGGGCACAGATATGTCATGCCTGTAATCTTAGCTACCCTGGAGATCTGAGGGTCATGTTTTGAAGCCAACAAGGCAGACATACCCAATTCTTAACTCCAGTTAACCAGCAAAAAGCCAGAAGAGGAGCTGTGGCCCAAGTGGTAGAACACCAGCCTTGAGTGAAAAAGCTAAAGGATATTTCCCAGGCCTTGAGTTCAAGCTCATTACCGACACACACACACACACACACACACACACACACCCAGCTTAACTTTGAGGTAAATCTTGGTCTTCAACACACCTTTTGTTTACTTAGTAGGAACTCTTCCCGACCCCCTACCCCTTGTAGGGATGAATTGAAATAGAAGGATCCCATGCATTTGTTATAGTAGCTGGTGGATATTTGTAAATGTCTTTGATGAGGGATTCTGGCTGAGGGCCTTTTTGACTGGGAGACATTTTAAATGTTTTTGTGTAACTATCACACAAAATACAACAAAAATGGAAATGAAATACAACAAACCAATTAAATTATAACTCAAGTTATTGGCATAACCCACAGAGTATGACCTCAACTTACTTAACACCACAGGAATGCACACGTGCCTCCTCAGTGGGATAGATCCTCAGGACAAAATGAGCTGCCAAAAAAAACCCAGTTAAATTGTTCTCAGTGTTCTTGTACCATTATTTTCAATGCTGGGATTGAACTCAGGACTACCCTAGTCCTGTCAGTGTTACTGTTATCTGAAGTATGCCTTTATTTATTTATTTATTTAGTGCCAGTCCTGGGGCTGGAACTCTGGGCCTGGTTATGGTCCCTTATCTTTTTTCACTCAAGGCTAGTGCTCTACCTCTTAAGCTACAGCTCCACTTCTAACTTTTTGCTGGTGAATTGGAAGTAAAAGACTCACAGACATGCCTGTCAGGGATGCCTTGGAATCACGATCCTCAGATCTCAACCTTCTGAGTAGCCAAGAATTAAAGGCATGAGCCAATGATGCCTGGCTACACAATTATTCTAACTTTCTTAGGAACCAGGATCTTCAGCATAAAAGATATACGAACAAAAAGTCACACAAGTCATAGCCTAGTTGTACTGAATATGAATTGGAAATCCCAGAATAAATGCTTGATCAGTTACACACATAGACATAGATACAGCGAAATATTTATCTCTCTTTATGTATATGTTTATATACGTATACATTCATCTCTTTCTATATATACATATATAGACACATATGTATGAAACCAGGCTTTTAGATCCCAGCCCCAAAGTCCAGAACTCACAACCACTCTCCCCTCTATGCCAAATAAAGAGACATGGTGAAGGGCAGAGAAAGGAGATTGATTGCATGATGACCATAGGAAGATGTCACTTCAGTACATCTTCAGTTGCGTTTGGAGTTGGACAGTGGCTTCAGGTGAAATAAGAAGAGTTGAGGGCAGGAAGTGAGAATGTAATGCATAGTTAACCCAGTCCCAAATCACACGTGCATGGACTGGTCACTGTTCTCTCTGGGTTCCCAGCCCTTTTACTACAATGTACTACAAAGCCTCTAGGGCCCGGATGTAAAATTGGTGGAATTTTAGTTAATTCACAGGGTCCAGTGAAAGGAACCCCCCCCTCTCCCTCCGTCCCCCCCACACCTCACAATTTTCTCCCCTGGAAATTTGTTGGTGGATATTTTCTCCTCCGAAAAGACCTAGGAGATGACATGGCCTCATCTACAAATCAGTTTCCACCTTTCCTACAGGATTACAGGCCCCAGCCTTCCCAAGAAAACTTGGCAGGAACATTACATATGACCTGCTGTTTTTTCTTAAACAAATAATAAAAGAAAAGACAAGAAGTGGGAAAAATCATATATGAAAAGAGATTTATTGCCAGGCATTACTGGCTCATGTCTGTAATCCTGGTTACTCAGGAGGCTGATATCTGAGGATTGTGGTTCAAAGCCAGCCCAGATAGGAAAGTCTATGAGACTCTTATCTCCAATTAACCACTAAAAAGTCAGAAGTGGAGTTGTAGCTCAAGAGGTAGAGCACTAGCTTTGGACAAAAAAAGGTAAGGGACAGCACTCAGACCCTGAGTTCAAGCCCCCATACCAGCACACAAAAAGGTGATACATTACGTCGATTACTCTAATTAGTAGGTTGCAGATGTGTAATGGAAGGCAAGGAGCTGGGGGTCTCAGACTGTGTGGCGTAATTTTGAAAGCAGGTATATTTCTTTTTCCTTTCTGGAGGCTGGAAGTGCAATAGCACTTTGTGTCAGGTAAGGGCGTTCTTACTTTTTCAGATATCATGTGACTTTTGGTCCATTATTCATTCCCTGCCAAGAGCAGAGCAGAATCTTTCGCCACCCTGGCAGGCGTTCATGCAGACTGCAGACTGCCTCCCACTGCAGCTCCTTCGCAGTCAGGCCCGGCTGATTAGGGCTGATTAGTCTGGCCTGATGTGAATAGCTCATTTTCTGGGCTGATCCTACAACAAGAACAGCCTTTGGAGACCTAAGAGGCAGCCTACTTCTGGGCTTTGGAAATCATTTACTAGCTGGGTGATCTTGGACAAGTTGGCCAAGGTCAAACAAGGCCTCTCTGGACTTCCATTTCCTCATCTTTAACCACTATAATGGTAGTGTCCTTCTTATAGCATTATCATAGCATTTGTCAAGCCTACTGTGAGACCTTTCTTTAATGAACACTCTTACAAGCATTTTGTGACCATAAATATGCACCTTAAAAAAACAAAACCTCATGGAACCCTCCCGAGTAAGCCAAATTTAGAAACCTCGATCTTTCACATGGTTTTTCAGATGTTGGACATTTGGCAGATTCAAGGGTAACTACTGTATGGGGGGGCATTGGCCACTGGGCCCAGTTGGGTGCTCCAAGCTCATGCCTGTAATCCTAGCTACTCCTGAGGCTAAGATCTGAAGATCTAACTTTGAAGGCAGTTCAGCCAGGAAAATCGGTGAAACTCTAATAGACAATCACCAACCAACCAACCAAAGAAAGAAAAACCAGAAGTGGAGCTGTGACTCAAGTGATAGAGTACCAACTTTGAGAAAAAGAGCTAAGAAAACCAAGGCAATGGCTGGCTTTATTGGCTTCTCTTAAACCACAAGTCAGTCTAGTAGCTCACGGGTGGGTTTGAGGCCTAGGTCTCCATCTATGAGACAGCTGGGGCTCCCCATCCATCCTTAGCATTTCGTTTTTTCTCCCCTCTGGCCTTTGCCCCTTCTGGCCCAGCACTATCTCACCTGGCTTCCAGAATCCATGTCTGAAAGCAAGGGGCCGGGTGGGGCGCTTTCACAATGATAGAAGCATTTTTGGCTTCCCTGGGTAGTGTCAAGCCAGCTAACTTGGGCAGTGAAAAC